GTTATGTATGTATTGTATGTTATGTATGTATTGTATGTTATGTATGTATTGTATGTTATGTATGTATTGTATGTAGATGTATGTATTGTATTGTAATGTATGTAATGTATGTAAGTATGTTAATGTATGTATGTAATGTATGTATGTATGTATGTCATGTATTGTTGTAATGTATGTATTGTATGTAATGTAATGTAAGTATTTGTAATGTATGTAATGTATGTAATGTATTGTAATGATGTATGTAATTGTATTATGTATGTATGTAATTGTATGTATGCTATGTAATGAATGTATGTATGTAATGTAATGTATGTAATGTAATGTAATGTAATGTATGTATTGCATGTAATGTAATGATGTAATGTTATGTATGTAATGTAATGTAATGTATGTAATGTATGTATGTAATGAATGTATGTATGTAATGTATGTATGTAATGTAATGTAATGTAATGGGTATGGTATGGTATGGTATTGGTATGGTATGGTATGGTATGGGTAATGGTATGGGTTATGCCGTAATGGTATGGTATGTAATGTATGTAATGTATGTAATGTATGTAATGTATGTAATGTATGTTATGTATGTTATGTATGTTATGTATGTAATGTATGTAATGTATGTAATGTATGTAATGTATGTAATGTATGTAATGTATGTAATGTATGTTATGTATGTTATGTATGTTATGTATGTTATGTATGTTATGTATGTTATGTATGTTATGTATGTATGTATGTATGTATGTATGTATGTATGTATGTATGTATGTATGTATGTATGTATGTATGTATGTATGTAATGTATGTAATGTATGTAATTATGTAATGTATGTAATGTATGTAATGTATGTAATGTATGTAATGTATGTAATGTATGTAATGTATGTAATGTATGTAATGTATGTAATGTATGTAATGTATTAATGTATGTAATGTATGTAATGTATGTAATGTATGTAATGTATGTAATGTATGTAATGTATGTAATGTATGTAATGTATGTAATCTATGTAATGTATGTAATGTATGTAATGTATGTAATGTATGTAATGTATGTAATGTATGTAATGTATGTAATGTATGTAATGTATTTAATGTATGTAATGTATGTAATGTATGTAATGTATGTAATGTATGTAATGTATGTAATGTATGTAATGTATGTAATGTATGTAATGTATGTAATGTATGTAATGTATGTAATGTATGTTATGTATGTTATGTATGTAAGGTATGCAAGGTATGCAAGGTATGCAAGGTATGCAAGGTATGGAAGGTATGTAAGGTATGTAACGTATGTAAGGTATGTAAGGTATGTAACGTATGTAACGTATGTAACGTATGTAACGTATGTAACGTATGTAACGTATGTAACGTATGTAACGTATGTAACGTATGTAACGTATGTAATGTATGTAATGTATGTAATGTATGTAATGTATGTAATGTATGTAATGTATGTAATGTATGTAATGTATGTAATGTATGTAACGTATGTAACGTATGTAACGTATGTAACGTATGTAACGTATGTAACGTATGTAACGTATGTAACGTATGTAACGTATGTAACGTATGTAACGTATGTAACGTATGTAACGTATGTAACGTATGTAACGTATGTAACGTATGTAACGTATGCAACGTATGTAACGTATGTAACGTATGTAACGTATGTAACGTATGTAACGTATGTAACGTATGTAACGTATGTAACGTATGTAACGTATGTAACGTATGTAACGTATGTAACGTATGTAACGTATGTAACGTATGTAACGTATGTAACGTATGTAACGTATGTATCGTATGTTACGTATGTTACGTATGTTACGTATGTTACGTATGTAACGTATGTAACGTATGTTACGTATGTTACGTATGTTACGTATGGTACGTATGGTACGTATGGTACGTATGGTACGTATGGTACGTATGGTACGTATGGTACGTATGGTACGTATGGTACGTATGGTACGTATGGTACGTATGCAATGTATGGTACGTATGCAATGTATGGTACGTATGCAATGTATGCAATGTATGCAATGTATGCAATGTATGCAATGTATGCAATGTACGCAATGTATGCAATGTATGCAATGTATGTAATGTAATGTAATGTAATGTATGTAATGTAATGTAATGTAATGTAATGTATGTAATGTATGTAATGTAATGTATGTAATGTATGTAATGTATGTAATGTATGTAACGTATGTAAGGTATGTAATGTATGTAATGTATGTAATGTATGTATGTATGTATGGATGTATGTATGTATGTATGCATGGATGCATGCATGTATGTATGTATGTATGCATGCATGCATGTATGTATGTATGTATGTATGTAATGTATGTAATGTATGTAATGTATGTAATGTATGTAATGTATGTAATGTATGTAATGGATGTAATGTATGTAATGTATGTAATGTATGTAATGTATGTAATGTATGTAATGTATGTAATGTATGTAATGTATGTAATGTATGTAATGTATGTATGTATGTAATGTAATGTAATGTTATGTAATGTTATGTAATGTTATGTAATGTAATGTAATGTAATGTAATGTAATGGTATGTATGTATGTAATGTAATGTAATGTAATGTAATTCAATGTAATGTAATGTAATGTAATGTAATGTATGTATGTATGTATGTATCTATAATGCGATATTATATGTTACTATACCTCATTGCTAGTGTTTGATGTAATATCCATGAATGTTCATTATGTTATTTCACCCTCATGGTTCTGATTTTTTGTGAAAGTCAGGGTATTTGCTCTGGAAACTTTTTGCGCGAGTCGACACAATTTTTCCCGACAGGATGATGTTGATTCACCTCAAGGATGTCTCAAACTGTATTTGTTGAGCAATTCTAATTTGGGTATGGGTCAAAACCGTCAAAACCCCCGAAATGGGTACCTGTTCACATCCCCAAGCGGGCTGAATTCCATGCTGCTTGTGTTTTTGAAATGTAAACTACAGGATACCATGACCATGTTTGATGGTGAACATCATGGTTTCCTGTATAATTTACATTCCCATAACCCCCCTACCCCCCAGCTCATACTAATAGAATTTTTCAAGACTGGAAATCTATAGTTGATATTCCCATTCACACCCACCTTAGACATAGAATTTACTATATCTATAAATATCTATAAATCACTAGCAATCACCGTCTATGGAGTCTGGAGGGTTTCCCATTGCCATGTTTGGTGAATCTGTTTGCCACGAAAAATATCACGCTTAGCTTGGCGGCGTGGACGATTCTTCTGGCGGAGTTTGGGCGGCCCAAACTTTTGGGTTTGTGCGCTAACGATGGCTTGGATTTAGTTCAGATGGGGGTACTAAACCAAGCATGTTGTGGGGATACAATTGTATAAAGCTTTTTTTTGACTAATCATATGCTGTGGCATTTTTTCATGAATGGAAGATATGCCCCCCAAAAGATAGCCATCAACAAGAGGGTTGCATGAGATGTGGGACGCTGTTCTCAGACTGACGAACCCCTGTGATCCAAGTACGTAGCTAAGCCCTTAATGAATTGGGGGATGGTGCCTATCATTGATACTGCCTGGATATGCCGGCACTTGAATCTTGGGGACCTTGGATTTTTCAATATTTTTCACAGACAGACCAACTATATGATATATACATACATAAAACCATACATGCATGCATACATGCATGCATACATGCATACATGCAAACATGCATACATGCAAACATGCATACATGCATGCATGCATGCATGTATGGATGCATATATACACAGATAGCTAGATAGATAGATAGATTGATTGATTGATTGATTGATTGATTGATTGACTAGACTGGATTGGATTGGATTAGATTAGATTAGATTAGATTAGATAGATAGATTAGATAGATAGATTAGATAGATAGATACATAAGATAGATAGATAGATAGATAGATAGATAGAAAGATAGAAAGAAAGAAAGAAAGAAAGATAGATAGATAGGTAGATAGGTAGATAGGTAGATAGGTAGCTAGATTAGATTAGATTAGATTAGATTAGATAGATAGATAGACAGATAGATAGATAGAAAGATAGATAGATAGATAGAAAGATAGATAGATAGATAGATAGGTAGATAGGTAGATAGATAGATAGGTAGATAGATAGATCAGATTAGATAGATAAGATAGGTAGATTAGATTAGATTAGATTAGATTAAATTAGATTAGATTGGATTAGATTAGATAGATAGATAGATAGATAGATAGAAATATCGATAGATAGATGGATAGATAGATAGATAGGTAGTTAGATAGATAGATAGATACATACATACAATTGTATATGTATCTATACATGATATATATACTTATATTCTTTTCTATCTTATATCATATTATTTTTCATTACATTACATTATATTATATTATATTACATTACATTTTTCATTATATCATACTATATTACATTATATTATATATTATATTATATTATATTATATTATATATTATATTATATTATATTATATAGTATTGTATTAAATTATTGTATATTATATTGTATTATATTAGATCATATTATATTATATCATATCATATTATATTTTATTATATTATATAATATCATATTATATTATATTATATTATAATATGTATATATATATATATATCATAGTGTATATATATATACATCATATATATATAATACGCATCTATACATCCATCGACGGTGGAAAGTAACGTCAACCTGTTATGAGAAGCTTTGATCCTTCGGCCCCAAAACTTCACTCAAAGGACCCAAAGCAAGAGGGCACTCCTTGAAGTTGGCTTGTGGTAAATGCTTAGATATGGTTGCTATATGGTTAGTATATGGTTGGTAGATGGTTAGTATATGGTTAGTATGTAGGGTAAATCATGGTGTATCCCCAAAAAATACCAGTATGTTCTAATAGGGACAACCCAAAACGATCCGCGAGACAACTTCCGCCTCTCGGCTCCAGCATCGGTCGCCGAATCGCACCGAGCACCTCCTGCGTGGAACGTGGGAATCGCACAGCTTCGTCGGTGCGAACGATATGCCGATGATTTACCAGGTGGGCTTTGACATTTGGCTGGTGTCATCAAATGTGACCAGGGAAATCCTCCTATCAATGGAGGTTTTTATAGGGATCAAAAATGGTAAAAAAAAACACATCAAACGGAAAAAACATGGAAAAACACATCAAAATTGTTATCAAACTCCCCCTATGTTTTTGTGGGAAAAAACACATCAACTGGGGCAGTTTCCAGCTGGCCATCCTTGATAGCTGGTGCAGAACACCGAAGTGTGGGACCTCTGCCCCTGCGGTAGCTAAGTTGGTGCACGTTTAACTTGGTGAATTCGTTTGAGTTGGGGGGATATAGCGAACTAGTATTGGGTTTAAAAACAACCTATTACTGGGGTAAAACCATCTTGCAAGTGCAAGTTTGGACAATTAAGATTGAAAACAGAAGTTGCTGTGCCACATGGATTTTCATACTGTTCTCTGTTTACCATAGGTGTTAACAGCTTCCCAACCATTGATCACCACACAGCCGTAGATCGGGAACACTTCGCCGCAGGTGCCATCTGCCGTCCAGGCTGATCGACGAGGAGAATGGAAGCACTATGACCCTGACAGCAGCTCCGCTCATTGAAATCCTCTGGGTAAACCATCCCCAAATTCATTAAAAATATAGTGGATTTTCCCATTAAACATGGTGATTTTCCATAGTTATGTTAAATTACCAGAGGGTATATATATATATATAAGATGTATCTGGGTAATTTATAACGACCGAACCCTGTTCTCCCGAGCCCTGGAAATCATAGTTAATAAAGGACATCATTCCCAAATGGCCTTAATTCAGGTTGGTGAATTATTATAATTTACCCAGATGTATGTATATATATGCACCAGGCCCTGCCACCCCCCCCCTCCCCCCCCCATATGGGATGGGTCCCATATACTGGTCCCATATGAGATCTTCCCCCTCCCCCCCTGTGGTGTGGTGGGGGTGTGGCACTGTCCCCCTCCCCCCCTGTGGTGTGGTGGATGGGTCCCATATACTGGTCCCATATGAGATCTTCCCCTCCCCCCCTGTGGTGTGGTGGGGGTGTGGCACTGTCCCCCTCCCCCCCCTGTGGTGTGGTGGATGGGTCCCATATACTGGTCCCATATGAGATCTTCCCCCTCCCCCCCCTGTGGTGTGGTGGGGGTGTGGCACTGTCCCCCTCCCCCCCCTGTGGTGTGGTGGGGGTGTGGTATGGTATGGTGGGTATGTATGGTGTGTATGGTCGGTCTGGTATGGCATGTTTGGAAAGTATGGTATGTTTGGTATGTATGGTAGGTATGGTATGTATGGCATGAGTGGTTGGTATTGTATGGATGGTAGGTATGGTATGTAAGTCTGTTGGATATGGTATGTTTGATATGACAGTATGTATGGTCTGTATGGTATGTATGGTTACTATGATGGGTATGGAATATGTCCTATCTAAGGTAGGTATGGTATGTATGGCATGTATGCTTGCTATTGTATGTATGCTATTGTATGTATGGTAGGTGTGGTAATTACATTTCATATGTATGGTATGTATGGTATGTATGATAGATATGATAGGTATGGTATGCATGGCATCATTGACATGTATGGTAGGTACGGTATATGTTCAACAGAGGTAGTGTTGTCAGAGTACACAGGTAGTAAACAGGAAGTAGATACAGTAGATACATAGCACATGTATGTATGACTATAGGTAGCACGTAGGTACTTTGAAGGAGTATGTGTGCTACGTAGGTCGCCTAAAAGGTAGCATGTACCTAGTAAATGCGAGGCTGGTAGTCAGAAATGCTGCAAAGACCTAGCAAATACGACGCTGGACCTCAGAAATGCTGCCAATAGCTTGCAAATAGAAGGGAATTGGGGCTACTACCTGGGGACCCAACCCATGGGGGGGGGGGGTGGAGAGACGGAGGACGGGACCATATATATATATATATATGGGTATACTATCTATGATCCCCTTAAACGGTAGAAGAAAATTAATGAAAATTATATATGATATATTGGCTTTCCCACTGAAGAAATGGGTGATGTGAAATCATTGAAAATGTGATTTGACATGATTTCACCGACAAAAACTGGTTTTGTATGACTATTTATATCTATAATTCACTAGCCTATTGTTATTCATAACCAATACTTGCGAAATAGAACCAAACACACATGTGAGGGATGCAAGCAGTAAATCATGGGTGAACATTTAGGACATGTAGGACCAAGGGGGCAAAACTTGATTGGCAATTTTCTTAGAAGTACTGTTTGTGCATTTTTTCGATGTACCCAACTTTGACCCATACTGTACCCAAATCATGCAAGTTGTATGCAAGGAAGCTGCGCCCCCTGTTTTTTTGCTTTTGATGAGTGTAATAGACAACAACGGATGAATTTAATAGACAACAACGGATGAATTTAACAACGGGACAGGAATAGGGATGGGAGTATACACAACAACAAGGGGTATGAAACTGACAGTCAACAATCACCTGGTGGTATTGGAGAGTAATTTTTTGTTTGCCATTTTGATCAACGGTGTCAGCCTGAGGGCATGGGACCCAAGATCTATGTAGCTTAGCTTCCTAGGTAGATCTATAAGCCATTGGGGATTGCCTGTGTTTGGGTTCACGGATCCATGGCTTTCTGACATTTTCTGACATTCAGCCTTCACTTGAAACACGTTATCATACGGATGCCATGGGGTTGATATGGCAGGTCAAAATTTTTGGCCAGTGGAAGCAGGGACGTGTTCCTTCAATCTTGAACACTTGCATCTATTTCTCAGTTGGTTTATAAACTCATCCAACTATATGTATCTATGTGCAATATCCACCATGCCCATCCAACATCATTCACCACACATCCAACATCATTCACAATAAACATCCAACATGCACAAAGCCAAGAGTCAGCGCGCTTGCCATTCGATACCAACTGACCCATTTCTTGGGGCTATCGAAACTTCACCAGGGTCGTGCTGAGGCGACACCTACGATCCTTGCACAGCTCCAATCCTACCACCTCCTGCAGATGCAAACAAGCCGCTTCGGAGACAGGCGAGAGCCGAGACGAGCCTCGATCAGGATCAGTGAAACTGGGAAATTGCTGTGCCCAAGGTATAGCTTTGTTGGAAGATTATGAACCATGAAGGGGTTATCGGGTTATACTATATACCTACTTTTATTTGATGGGGAATATTCATAATGTCATAATCTATTGCGGAAACCTACGCCAGACAGCTATCATGGGATCAGACCAATAAAACGCCCAATCGCTCAACAGATACAAGCTGGTTCATATCAGTAAATATCCCATGACCTATTCCTTGGTTATCCTTTTTTCAATGGGGTCCATAGCTGAGCTTCTAGCTATTTCTGTTGACATGGCACCGTTTGTTGCGTTGACGAGCTTCATGCCTGGATTGGGAGGATCAGTACCCAAATGAATACAACATTGGAGCCAATCACAGAAGGTTGCGGGCCAACTGTGGAAGACCTCCCCAAACTCACAAGATTCAAAGAGGTTTTACCCTCTGGTAATTTAGCATAGCTATGGAAAATCACCATCTTTAAAAGGTAAATCAACTATTTCTATGGGCCATCTATACCATAGCAAACTGTTAGTTCTTACCAGAGGTTTTAAGCGAGGTTTTACATGTTTTCTCCAAGTTCTTCAAAGAGGTCCACGGTCCAACCCTGGGACATGAAATGGGCAGGTCGCAGCCCTACGTAGTCGAATCAACAAGGGAGGCAACGAGAACGTGCTTGCGCACTACAGGAAGGTCGTTCAGGACGGCAAATTTTGGTTACGGGTGAGAAATGTTGAAAATCCATTCGCAAAAGGGGTTTTTAACTTTTTCTAGAAATCCATTAGAAAGATTGGTATTTGAGTGTCAAATACCAACAAATTGTTCGCTTATTTTTTTTGGAGTATTTTACCTTTGTTCTTTACCAAACCATCATTTTTTGTTGTTTCTGGAGTCATGACGGGGAGTGGAACACGTTTTTTTTTTAGGATCAACGTTGAAGACCTGTGGTTTCACCACGGGTGTTTTAAGGTGATTTTTTAAAGTACCGGCCTGGTAAACATGCAAAAAACGATGGAAAATCACCATTGTTAATGGGAAAATGAACTATTTCGACTGGGCTATTTTCAATAGCAAACTGTTAAATTAATTTAAATTACCAGAGGGTTTTAAATGCCATTCGTTTTTGTATTATTCGCAAGCGATCCCATGTTTGTGCAGCCGCTTGTGACCTATGTCGTTCTTGTCCTCTGATTTCATCAGGCATTTTCTTGAACCTGGAAATTGGATGAAGAGGGAGGGTTCATCTTTTTATAGATGTCCCGCAAAAGATCCAACAGTCAATTTGGATGACTTCGATGATCATTTACTGACCGTTCTCCCTGTGACGCTGAAAGTGCCGTGGGATTCTTGGATCCCGCATGTCTTGACGCGTTAGGACCTGGAAATGTCAATGTCCACCAAGAAGGACCGCAGGGTGCAGGTGGCGACGGTACTGCCGATTGGTGGTTTCACAGCTACCTTCCTCTGGCTTTTTTTCAGTCACAATAAGTCACCATTGACAGCTCCTACTTTTCAAAGTATCTCAAATTTTGGGTCACAAATTTGGGTCACAATAAGTCACAAAAGTCACAATAAGTCACAATAAGTCTGGCTTGTACCCCGATGAAAAATCCAGAAACAGGTCATTCCTGAGCCTTACCGAGTCATTCCATGGTGCGGTTTTGTACCGCTGGTTCGATTGGTAGCTGCTCCAAAAATTCCACCTGGCTTGCTGAAGTTCATAAGTGCATAGTAACTATGCGTTACTAACTCCTTTCAATTATATATATATATAGATTATCATAAACTTATATAATACTGATATATATATAATATACTGATCACAAATATACAGATATAACAATGATCATAGGATATATAATATACTGATCATAAAGCACGAACTTTCTTTGGAGCGTCCTGGCAAGTACGTTGCAGAAAAATCACCATAGCATTTTTCCACTTTTTTTCGCGATCGATGTTGTGGATCACACCAAACAGTTCGATGTAAACGGAAAATCATTAAATTCAGTGAGGTTTCTTACAATTTTTTAGTGATGTAGAGAGTATACTGAGTATACAAATGTGGCTGATTTATAGAAATTCTTCATCCTTCTGAAATTACACCATTCTTAGGATCATTCCACCTCGGAGCTGACTAATCACACAAAGAAGATATCATGCGTCCCCTTTTTTGTGGGGTGTTATCCTTTAAAAATGTGTATAAATGACCGACAACTATGGCTACCAACCACAGTAAACGCCATCGTGTGTTTGTATATATATATATATATATACATGAATATGTGTCTACAATGAAAAGCCTAGTTATCAGTTTTTAAACATTAAAAACCAACTTAGGGTATTAACTGGGGGCATTATACGCCTTCTTATATATAGTTGTAAACCCTATTAATGCAAACTGGGGTTACTAACCAGATCTAACCAGTACTATCCACGTAGTAAACCAACTTAGCTAACTATCCACTTACCAGACTTACCATCTGGGAGTCATATACTAATATAAACATATAGACCAACATTATAAAAAATATGATCCCCTGACCATCTGGGGGTCATCTTAACCTCCGGAAAAACGCGTTGCGCAACGCCAGGAGTTCTGCCACAAGAGAACTACCTCCGCAGCCTCCACCGCCGTGCCGGAAGGGCCCGAGGCCGGAGAGCTTGAAATCTTCAAACGGTGGGATATACTGATATATATATATATACTGATATACTGATATAGTAATGATATGAGTGCTGCAAAAAAAATGAGATTTTCCTGAAAAAATGCTTTTTTAGGGGATTGATGGAAGATTGATAGTATGGATACCCTGCAACCAGTCATATCAATGAGATTTAGTGGAATATGAATGGAATATATATTATACTGAAAATGACTGACATGGATACCCCGCAAACAGTCATAGTAATGATATGATTCATATTAATGGATATTCATGGGATAAAACTATAAACCATGATTTGGCTATCCTGTTCATCTACTAATATACTGATATTGATATTGCTACCCTGCAAACAGTCATATTAATGGAATATTGGGATAAAGAATCAACGATGGGTTGGTTCAAAAATTCTGATTTCTCCTTCCTTTTTACCAACTTCCAGGAAGAGAAACATTGGAATAGATTGGAAACATCGTCTGTAAGATGATTCAACGACATATCAGCGTTTTTTTTTGGAATTGTGTAGGTTTGCTAGAAAAATCAAGCCACTTCTATAGGTGAAATTGTCAAAAAATACCGGTTAGATCCCCAATTTTGTTGGTGAACCGTTTGACCCCACCAAGCCTTCTGGCTTTGTCCAGTCAAATTTTTGAAACATGTTTGGGAAAAATGAGGCTCATTTTTAAAAACACTGGATTCCGTTGTAGCCTTGCTGGGAAGTGCAAGGATCGTTTTCGAAGATATGATACATGGGGATTTTCTGAAGGGCTATGTTATCTATATCTGATGGTTAGACTCATCACGGCGATGGAAAAATGGTGGGTGTCAAAAAGCTTCTTGTTTTCCTTGGCTTTGTGTTGGGAATGATTTATTTTTGGTTTTCCCACAGGCAATATGAAGGTATCCATCTAAACGTCGAACAGGCACAAAGCGTACGTACTGAAAATAGGCGGCCCATTTTCATCTGTAAAGTCACCAGAGCTCCCAATTTTAATGTTGAATGCTTGCCCCTCGAGACACAACTTCCAGCGTTGTTGGATCTGGGTTAAACTCGCGCACCTCCAAAATTGAATGCTTACCACCAACACTGGCCCAATATTTGTAGTTTGAGGCTTCACTTTTGACCCTTCCCATCTCTTCCAAGCTGAAATTTCTTTGTGAAAATCATGTGGTACGTCGCCATTTCTTGGACTTTCCCATATTTTTCCACAACGACAAATCAGGTGGAAGACTTGGAGGATGATGACCTCGACACCGAAGCAGTGAATGTCATGGGACATAACTGATAGATACAATGATAAAATCCATGGATATCTGGTTGGTGGTTTGGAACATGAATTTTATTTTTCCATATATTGGGAATAGTAACCCCAACTGACTTTCATATTTTTCAGAGGGGTTGAAACCACCAACCAGATATTTATGGGAGGTTACCAACAATTCTACGGATTTCTGTGAAGATAGTGGACTTACCCTCCAATCTACGGCCATCAACTATATCGGGGGAAAATCATGATTTTTGCCGAGGATTCAGTGGTTCGTTGGTTCGATTTGACTCCTATAGGTCCTATGATTGGTAGCAATCACTCGGTGTTCTTTTGGTCTTTCTCCCTCCCATTTCCTTGTTCCAGGGTTTCTTACATTTCCTCCATCAACATCACCGTTTTTGGTGGGTGTTGATCATCCGGACAGCCATTTCAGATGATGCTGCATACTTCCAAACAAGGGCAAGCACAGACAAGTCCAAGATTCTAAATTCGCCGGACCTACACGATCCAATCATTTTTATCAAGATACAATCTATTGTAATCAGTTACGATCAATCGATTATAATCTATTATAATCTCACTTTCTACCCATTTTTGGATGACACTTTCTACACCGAAACGCCGTCCTTCGCCGTGTTGGCCTGTCAGCCGCTGTCAGCCGCTGCCGTCTGAGGAGTTTCTGGAGATTCCGCTCGAGGCCTCAGTGGAGAAGACCGGCGAAGTCTTTTTGTCGAAGAAGTCAATGCCAGGTCGAGAGCTCGGTGTGTCGAAACGAAACGTGGTGAACCAATCATCCAAAGATGAGATAGTTCTAGGATGTATATATATATAATATAATATAATATAATATAATACAATATAATAATATAATATAATATAATATAATATGATATAATATAATATATAGTATGATATAAATATAATATATATATAGACAATATATATATATATTTATATACACAATATATATAGAGGATATCGATGGGATATATAGCCAACAATACAGAGGTATGAGATCTTGCTGTGTTCAAATAATTTAGGTATGGGATAGTTCTAGGATATAAATGAAGACGAATGAGATATTCTGGGATATGTGACCAACAATATGATATTTAGTCTGAAAGTTGGGGGAATAACATCCAGTTTATGGTCAAACATGTGGAAAAAAAACTAAACTTGTGGTCATTTTTAGATGTATATAGTTCAATATGAACACATGTGATTAGCGTTAGTGTAATATGAACAATTGTGATTAGCGTCAATTAAGCAGTCTGGTACTCTAAATTTCTGCAAAGCCTTACGTAAGTACCGAGATCAACGGGTGGCGGTGCTCCCCACCCCCAAAGAAAAGACAGGTGTTATCTTGTTATTGATGGGGGGCTTGAAATGAATGCCCCAAGAGCGATGATGATGATGATGATGATGATCGGGAAGGGACTTGGTTTTGCCAGTTGTTTCATCCATGTGCTGCTGACTTAGATCCACTTGGGTCCCACCGGTCACCTGGGCGTAATGTGAGGGTCTTGCCGTCTTGCCGGTGCCTCAAAAAGGGTGCCCAAGGATGCTCAAGGCTTTTTCGAGGCGACCAATAGAACCATCCCATGTATTTCATTCCACTTGGCACTGCATTTTGTTCTTTTGCACGGCTTTGTCTGAAAATAGGCTACACCAAGATTTGATGGTTCATGAATGTTTATGATCATTTTCCCAACTACGGCCATCAATTCGGGGGTCCTCTGTCTTGACGGCTTTCCTGGCTTACCCTTCCCATGTGGCACAGCCAACGCAGGTACGCCATTGCTCTTTCCCAGGACAGATTTCTCCTTGGGATCCATGTCGCATATGTGGCTAAGTCGAGCCGCAGAATTCCCGTTTCCATCAGGTGTTCAAAAGAATTTGGGATCCACTACGACTGGATGATCAGTTGATTCAGTTGCGGAGCGGCAGGCACATTGGCGTTAATTATGAAGCACCTTTGTAGCTCCATGAACATAACATGAAGAGATACTGAGATACCAGAAAAAAAACTGGGATGGTACCTCTACCTAATCTCCGGATCAACTCCCGAGAGTTTCGATGGCCCTTCAGAAATGGCAGATGAAGGACGGTGCGTCCTGAGCCACCGAGCTTTGCAGGGTCCGGAAGGAGCTGGGTTGTCATGGCATGTCATGGCATGTAGTGTAGTATACATATAACATATTCTATCATATACCCCCAAAAAACTCTATGGTGAGATTGGTGAGGTTGTTCTCCGTTTCCTATCCATTGGCTATACACTGCTACAACATGTAACTGATACAAGTTGAGTTGGATGACCCAATTTGAAAAGAGACAAGATTCGTCATGAGCAGTCATGAATAATCTGAAGTTCCATGACGCTTGAATGAAGTTCTCCAGTAGAAAACATTGAATTTCAGCAACAAATATGGGGTTTAACTGGATTTTTCACAGCACCATGATATGGGGATAGAGCTCGGGCAGATCCCTTATTGGTGGTTTTTTTTGGGGCACGGAGTAGGACTGTGATTTTGTCCATTTTTTGTTCAGAATCTAAACCATATTTTGAGCATGTCAAAGCCACAAAACGATGGGATCAGATGGGATCAGATGGGATCCTAGAGAATTTAGCAGTCAGAAGTTACGATTTCAAGTTCTCAATGACACCCCAACCACATGACTTTTGCCAAGATCACGGAGCAGGATCTGCCACGTTAAAGCTCCGCGACCTTCCCTCAGTCCTCTGGACTCCATGGTTTCTTGGAATCAGTTCGGTCCACCCTCAGCCGGGATGATCCAGAAACAGTGTACCCTCTGGTAATTTAACATAACTATGGAAAATCACCATTTATAGTGACATTTCCCATGAAAAATGGTGATTTTCCAATATTTTCCATTTTTTTGTATGTTTACCAGAGGGTACCTGTAGCCGTAAATCTGGTGAATCACAACTTTTGCATACTCAAATATCCACACATAAAAGGGGTTTCGTCACCCATTTTTAACGCAAATTCACACATTGTTGGCTATATCCCAGTCATTCCATTAACATCCATGTGCATGTCAAAGAACACATGTTTAACATTATTAAACAACACATTATAATCATTATATACATACATACATACATACATACATACATACATACATACATACATACATACATACATACATACATACATACATACATACATACATACATACATACATACATACATCATACATACATACATACATACATACATACATACATACATACATACATACATACATACATACATACATACATACATACATACATACATACATACATACATCATTCTATAGCATTATTATTTCATTATATTTCATTATATATCATTATATATATATATCATATATCCAGTGAAACAACATAGTAGCGTATTTTTCTCATAACATGGCTGGGATCTGACCGGCATCAGGTCATGGCTCCAACCTTGACGTTGTGGCCCCTGTGAGCCGGGTGAAGTGGCCCGGGAAGGGCTGGAAGGCCCGGTGACGTGGCGGAGAGTGGTTTCAGCAACTTCGAGTCTAAGAGCATGGATAGAAAGTTGGGAAGTTGAACACTTAGAGTTTTTAGTACTGACAGAGGTTGAGGAACATGAAACATCATGAAACATCCATCGTGTTGCTTTTCAATTTGGTTCCAGCCGAATTGCAGGGCTCCTGACATGCAAAAACGATTCATTGGTGCTAAAAGGTTGGGCCCTGGATCTTGACCCAAGAAATCAGCTTGGAAGCGAAAAAAGGCAAAACCTTAGTTTTTTTGCACATAAAAAAAACTTCTTTTGAATATGTCATATATGAATTTATATGATATCATTGATATCATATCATGATATCCCAAAAGATACGCAGTTTTGATCCCAGCTTTGCAGTTTATCCCAGCTTTTTTGCCACAGTTCAGCGGAACACGTTCCACAGATTTCCGACCAGCCTGCGCCACCTTCGCCCAGCTCGGGTGAGTAGATCTCTTTTGCCGGATGGTGATGACCCCGGTGGAGGGTACCAGTCGATGTCAAAAAGCAATGCCCTCAGAGGCCGAATGTCAGTGCAAAAATGAGGTTTACAACATTTTACAACTCATTTTTGATCATTTTAGCCTGAGAAAAAACTAATATATATATATATATACTATATATACATATATAATAGTATAATATCATAATATATTATATATATATCATGAATGGTGGGTGAAAATCCGGTGAGATGGATCTATGATCAACTGCAAGTTGGGCTGGGAATCTCCCATTTTCATGTGAAAATCTTTGTTGATTATGCAGCTCATTGTAAAGAAGAGATAGTTGGGCTGGCAACCGGTTTTATATCTCGACATCGTGGATCCAAAGTTGTTCGAAAAGTTTCAGTCATGCACCTTGGTCCGACAGGCACGACAAGCACAACATGCTCACATGGTTTAGCTTATATAGTCGGGCTTAGTATATAGCCAGCACGTGGCATATGGCGAAGATAAAAGTTTTTTTTCCATGAAACAACCCCAAAAATTATCAAACATGCCCAAAAAAGAGGTGTTTTGCAAACGGCCACAAGACCGAAGGCTAGTGGAGACTCCAGGTTACATATATTTATGGTTGGTTGTTTCAATTCGTTTCAATCGCTTTGCATCCCCCTTGGGAGATCTACAAATTGACCAGTGGATCTGTTGATTGCGTGAAGCCGGTGGAGAATTGAATGAAAAGAACAACTTCTGCAAAAAGAAAACGATGTTTCCGAAGTGAAAATGGTTTTCTGTCACATTCTCCCTCAATGCAACGATATAACCATGGTGACATAAAATTTGCGATACCCTCGCAGCCGAAGGGTCAGAGCATGGCACACTGCCGCGAAGATCTTCGAAAGAAGAGCCGAATTCAGCCAAGAGAATGCAGTAGCCATTGTCTACCAAGGGAACTTCTGTGTTTTGCCATTCGAAAGGATCTATGGAGAAAAGATGCGAAAAAGGAAAATCCTGTGTATCTTGTCTGATTTTATGATAGAAATAGCTAGATGGCTCAAAAGAGAACATGTGCATGTTCTTGATAAACTTCAGAGACTCACTGGAAGTTCCAAGCACTAACCTTAGTCAGTACATTGGAGTTCGCAAACGGTCAGACCATGCTGGATCCATTTGCACTTGGAATCACCACTATTTGTGGGGACCTTTCTTATCAATAAACTGCGTTCTGAGTACTCCTGGGTGAGCATTTAATGGTAAAACGTGTAGATCTCAGATGATGCGACAGACATTTACCGGTTGAATACGTTCCTTTCTCAGCGACCTTGGACTGTTGGCCACAAAAAATGGTTCACTGATACACAAAAAATGAAATCAGCAAATATGATCAAATATGCTGCTCGGAGAGATTACATGACTCACTATGAAACTTGTTTCAACGGTTGTTGTGGCTTTGCTTTCACTCTTTGGGTGACTTGTAGTTTCCCCAAAGATGGTGGCAACCCCCGACCGACTGTCCTCGACTTTGTGGAATCGGGACTATGTCTACAGACTTGAAGCAAATCCAAGCGTCACCTGTATGTCGGGCACAGGACAACTCGATACCACGGTGATCCACTCGATTGAAATAATGTGGTATAGAATATAGGTGAATCACTCCTGATTTTTTTTGGTGATGGAAAGGTCATGCATTATTCATCTTCAACACTTCCCGGTAAAAAAGATAGACCACGCATCACTGAAAATCATCTCAGGGCCCAACAATGAGCAGCCAATATAATAAACATCATCTATCATAATCTCATGTGTGTCATATATATATATATTCATATATATATATATATATACATACATACATATTCATATATATATATATATTCATATCATATATCATCTCATCTCTTTTTGCAGAAGTTTCCTGGCACGGTGTTCCGATGAGCCCGGGCTGATGGTAGAGTCCACGCAACGTGGTCCGGCTGGCCGTGGAATTCCTGAGGGCAAAATGGGCACAGCAACACAGCAAAAGATGAAGGCATTCCTAGGGACCAAATTGGATGGGTCGTCTAGTGAGTCCTATACCACTGTATTCATCTTTTGCCGGAATAACTGGGATAACCAACTGCAAATAAACAATTTTTTACAGGGTATTTGAGAGCCATGAAACCCGAATTGGAAAGAAGCAAGAACAGGCACATCACTGAGAGCCATGGCTGCATAGGCAACCATAGGCAACATTGGGTTTCCAAGATGATTTGGGACAGTGTCACTGTTAAGCAGCCAAAGCGGGTCCACTTTATAGGAGCCGGCAAGGCTCCTTTTAAGGACAGAAAGATGTGCCACGGAATGTAGGGAATCTGCCACACAAGGCCGCTGACCGTGAGACTCAGACCGCGGAAAACGCACAGAATGCACAGAAAAGCTGATCCGTTTGCGGATCACTCACCTTTTTTTTGCTCGGACGATCTCAACTGCGATATGTTTGGCTCGTTTTCTGAAGAATCCACTCTTCCGTATCAGCCATAATTCCTAGTTTTTCTCCGTCCCATGGACCAGGTAGCTGTATGGATGGGGCGGCTTCGGGTTGTAACCCCGGATAAATGTGGGAAATCCACCTACATTTTTTCATCAAACTTCCACCAGATGTGGATGTTTTTTCCCTAGCTTTCCGGGTACTTTTCCATGACTTGAGGATCCCGCAATCAATATGCACAGATCGCAGCTTGACTCCCAGCTAGCTGAGCCAAAAGTGCTTGACTGCACTTTTTGGCCAATAGCTTAGGAATAATACATCAAATCGTCTCCGCTGGTCGTCTCCGCTTGTTTGCTCCATAGCTGGCGCTTCCATTCAGCGCTGGAATTCCACAGATTTTTACTGACGGGTTTGAGCAGTTTTTGATGACGAAAAGGCCCTTTTTGGCAGGTGGTTTGAGGAACAGATGCCGTGAAACCATGTGAAACCAGGAAATCATCCCCAACAGGTGCAGAAGGTTTCATTTGTGGCCTTTAGTTTTGTTGCTGAAGCTGTGGTCTTCCTGATTCGTAGGACGACATGATTTGTTGTGGTGTCAAACGTTTGTCATTTGCATCTGCCAAAAGGGATGATGCTCCCAAGGAATCTGCATACTGAGCAATGGCTTGTTCAAGCACCAACCAACTTACCGTAACTTACCCTGATTTCAGGAGAGTTTTTGTCCCTCTAAAGCTGCGGAATTGAGATGACCCAACTCAATTCTGCTATAGGTACGTTGGGAGGTTTGGTATCCAGACTAGATGACCTGTGGCTATGGGTCAAAAAGAAAGCTGCATCCTCACATTCCAAGACACAATTTTCTGCGTTCTCTTCACTTTTGCATTGTTCCTGGGTGAGCAGGATTAGTTGACCTGCAGGCATGTGTCAAGATGCGCTGAATGCTGGCAAAAACATAAGCATTTTTCCACCAAAGGCCAGGCAAAAGTTAGATGAACCCTGAAGCTTAGTTGGATTGTAGTTTCAAGCGCAGCTGGTAGCTCTTATGATCTGTAGCCAGCTTGGATCCTATACCCCCAAAATCTAACACCAAAATCCCCAAAGTGATTTTGGCCGATGATTCTACTTCGATTTCTTCACATTTCTTCACTTTGTTCTTTTTTGGGCTTTCGGGCCTTTCGGGTAGCAAATCATCCAAGAAAAAGTGAACGCTTTCCGAGCAAACAAACGGGACCTGTTTCACGCACCTGGAATGCTGAGGCCGAAGCATGGGACCAGTTTCGCACAGCAACTCTTCGCTTAGTAGCTGAATTACTTGGCATTTGTGGGATTTTACAGAGGAATATGGAACTGATATGAGCCTGGGATAGCCTGGGCGATATCAGCGTCAGGATAATATCAGGCATTTGCCAGAAAGATGAACATGTAAGGGGTTGCAAAAGGCGACGAGGGCGATCGATTGCGAGCCTGAAAGTGTTTCAGAACGTGCTGTGCGGTGTCCCCTGTTTCAAAATGCCCAGTATCGCTGGTAGATGTCTGATTTTCTGCGTGTGATGCGTTACCCGTAGAGCTATCTGGGTTCACCATGGGTCACCTTTTAAAAGGCTGAATCCCGATTGGTTATGCTTGGTTGCTGCCCTGTTGTCGGCAATTGATCTAACATGCCAATATATGTTACATCCAGATTTCGTAGGTTTCTCTCCCAGTATTTATAGATGGAGATTACTGTATAGATATCATAACCACTGTCGATTCATAAACCAAAAGTTGGTTTGCACTTGCCCCCCAGACGGCTCGGTCGGGCGACAGGTTCCTAATTGCTATGGAACTCATCATCCAATTTCAAAAAAGCAGGCTATGGAACCACTATGAACCAATCATCTAGTATATAGTAAAACCATGTAAAACCAGCAACCCTACGTAATCTTCAGGGATTCCTGAGACTTCACGTGGCACACATGTGGTGGCCACAGAAATGCTTCCAGTACGTTGCTTGAGGGAACGCAGCGTGTCACGCGAAAACTTCGGCTTTTGCACTGACCAGTTGGAGCACAGGAATTGGCAGTCTGTCCTAGATCAGAAGGGCATGGCTTTGT